ATTAATATAATATAATAATATAATAATAATAATATAATAATAATAATATAATAATAATAATATAATAATAATTTATATAATAATAATAATATAATAATAATTTATATAATAATAATAATATAATAATAATTTATATAATAATTATATATATATAATTATATTAATATTCTCTAAATAGCACAGTATTTGTGCAAAAATTTTGTAACATGCTATACAATTTCCAAAATTATTTCTTTGTTTCTTCTAATTTCAGGGTGGTTTTCTGTGATATCTAGTGGCAGCACTACAGGCAGCGCACGAGTCTATAGAAGAGTAGATTCTTTAGTACGAGCCGGAGTGCCCGCATTTCTTTTAGCAGCGCCATTGAGAGCATACATTTTAACGCACTCAAAAATGGGTAAGTTAATCATTCGAATAAACGATACACCGACATAAAATAATTCTTGCCTGCAAACTGTGATCAAACCAAATCATAAATCAGTAGCTAGCTGTTTTATGAATCATAAATAGATTGCAGTCTTCTATGTACGTTATAAGAATCTCCACGAGCTACTTTACAAAAATGTGAAAAGTCGAAAGGAAGTTGCATTGTTCTATTGGAAGCTTTTTTACATTCCAGAGAAGGTGAGAAACTAGTTTAATTTCTTTCCACGTGAAATTTTCGAAAATCATGAACACCAAATGCGTAGAATTCACAGGACTATTTATAGACGAATCGCCTATTATAGACGAATCATAAGAAATTGCAAATATTATACAAATTATTTTCGAAACATGTCGAATCTGAGTATATCATATTATTGCTTCAATAATGAGGATTCAATGAAAAATATAATCATTCAACTGAAAACATTGATAATACCATTATAGTAATCAGTATCAATACGTTAACACAGAATAGTGATTATAAAACATTAAAGCAGTACACGCGGCGACTTGTTCTCCAACTTTATTAAAATCGCGAATGTAAACGAATTACGAAACTCGGCAGTGTGCAACGATGAATAAAAATGAGAAGTAACATTTTCGTAAAAAGTTAAAACGCGATCAAAGAACAAGAAAGGCAAACAGAGAAAAATACAAAACCGCACACATGAGAGATTAGGAGATATTACAGGCGAAACAAGCAAAAGAAACACAGATGTCGAAAATCGCTAAAGAAAAGGAAACGGATTTGGCGTTCTTGGAGAGCACAAAAAGCGCGCTAAACGAAACGAGAAGATGGGAAACGATAATGAACAATCGAAACCGAGAATAAGAAATCGAGAATGAGTGAAAACACTTGTAAACCAGAAAAGTTCGACAAAAACAAACAGCGGGTGGGGAAGGGGGGAAAAAAGGAAAGAGAGGCATAATAATACGCGCGAATGTATACTATCGGTGGTAATATCAAGAAATGATGTTCTTGACCCAAATGCATATAGATGTCGGCGTGCACAACCTGACTCGGTAAAAAGAGAAATACGAGGAATGCGTAAATCACACGTTTCTGGCGGAAGCAGAAAGTTAAATGCGGTAAATAGACTATGTTACAGTAATAATGCACGGAGCAGTGATAAAAGAAGCATGAAACATCGACGTTGGAGTTTCAATTTTTGTGCTGTTATTTTTGACAAGAGCATAATGGACTGCCACATGCGATTCTTGACTCTAATGTTCCCTTCATCGTTTCGCATTGTTAGCAGTCGTCAGTTACTTACATTTGACAGTTTTTACTTACGTTTTATAACGCAAGTTACTTGTACTTTATAAATAGATAAAATCGATAAAATAAGATTGATTTATAAAGGAAACGATTCGTATAAATAAATATAAACTATTGCACACGTCTGTGTATTACTTTAAACAGGATTCAGCTACACTGAAAGGCGCGAACACTTGTGTAACTATTTAGCACTTGTAACCCCACTGAAAATGTTTAGCTATTTAGCAAAAAATACGATGAAATATTTAATCCACTTAATGATATTGTATTTAATCAACTTATATTAATGTCTGTTGAATTTATAATTCTATATTCCTGTAAGAAACTTATATTTGTATAATCATTCGCAATCTAATAATAACAACTTATACATATTAATTGTAAGAAATAGCTTTATGCAAATAACTATTTTCAAAGATCATGTCACAAAAGTAAAATGAAAAATTCATCTTCATCTTGAACATTTTTTGAGAAATGAAGTATCATTAATATTCGTTTATGTTTGCATTTAGAAATGTATTTAATTTTAATTAAGAAGCGTCATAATAATATCATATAAAATATATAATATATCATATATAATATAAATATATAATATATATAATAATATAATAATATAATATATATAAATATATAATATAATATATCATACATAATAAATATCTGTAATCTATTTATTTGCTATGATTGCATATTTTGCAAATATTTACTATCAGGTTCCTCTTTGCTTCCAGAAAATGGCAACCTAAGAGCTCATTATACGAAAACCACGATCAGAGCGGGCGAGATTCTGCGATTGATAGCGGTCTTCCAGGACACGAGGAAATGCAGCACGGTGTCCTTCGGGATTTCTGGAAGCTCTTCGGAGAAGGATCAATACGCCCAGTGTTTAGATCCACATGGTCGCGAAGTGTTTGCACCGTTGTCGGCGAGGGGCGAGTTCTACGCCATTTGCCAGAACGGAAGCATCGACACCGGAAGCGATGCTGTACTGTACAAAGTGCAACATCTTGCGAAAAGACAGCTACCTCTCAGAGTAAGTATCTTTTTCCTTCAGTCTTGAAGACGCAATTGAAGAACATAAACGATTTTAATAGAAAATTTCTGCTCTGAGTTATGGACTACTTTTAAACCGCCAACAATCGCTTGTTTTTCTTGTAATAAAAATAATTAAAGATAGACCACTGATAGTTACTGTAACCATGAAGTAAATTGCACAGTAAAAGGTTAATTAGAATTTGGTAATCTTATTACTCCACCATTGTATCATAGAAAGATAAATAAAAAAAAAATTAAAACATATATAATATATAGATATTGCAATGTTAATTGTTCGAAATAAATGAATGTGATGAAAGAGATGTCGTAACATGAATTCTTCTTCGTTAATAAAGATTATAGTTATATTTATAATTCTGTCTTTCATTTTATTATACCGCCGCAATTATACAGGCGCCCACTAAACAATATTTAGTACAAATAATTAAAAAAGGAACAACCCTAATCGGAAACTCTTGGTTACCAGGTTCGTTTAATAGCTGGTCCACTTCCGATTCCCTTGCCAAGAGAATATGGCGGTTTGATGGAACTGGAAAGCTCGACTCGAGGACCAATCGTTCTAGGATGTATCGTGCCGGAAAGACCCGTGCACAACCCCGAAATGCTCGAACTCGTGGTAACCGGAAGTGGTGCGCCACGGGTAAGGAGGGCGAGATTAGGCTATCCATCGGAAGCTAGGCTGCTGGCTTCGCCCAAAATGCAACGGTTATTGTCTGCCTGCAGGTACTTTTAAATATCATTTGTTATTTATCTAATACGTATCTTAATCAATGATAAGCAGTAATTTGTTATTTGTATCGTAATAAATTGCACTAACGACTTTTACGAGAATAGAATTCCAGTGTTTTAAGCATTCCCGATATATTCTCTTTCGTTTAATTAACCCTCCATCTGAATCTTGGGCTTTTTAGTGCTTCAGTCTTTGACCTTTGAATCTCTGAATCTTTGTGGATTCTTGAATATTTGAATTTTCGTGACGAGCACGGTTGCATGATTTTAGTTTCTAAGGTTGCGTTCGGAGGGTTACAACATTATTAAAGATTAGCGATAAAAATCTAGTAACTAGTATTGAAAATTACTTCACACCAAATCGAAGCTATTTTGAAAATTTTAAACAAATTAAAAAGATCGCATAAAACGCATACGTGAAATATTATGTTATATTATATATTATATTAATATTAATATATATATATATATATAATATATTATATTAATTATTATATTATTATATATTATAATATATTATATTATATTAATTATTATATTATTATATATTATAATATTATTATAATATATTATATATAATATTCGATAATTGTTTAGCCTAGTTTACCGACTAAGTGTCCGATCTGTCATCCGAACATCCACATCCCCGGTTCAGTTCGAACAACCGAGGTACTCTCGGCGCACTCTGAAACGTTCGAAGTTGTTTGAATAATTGCGGATGGAACACGTCGTATCTACGCTGATCGCTTTAATATACCGTAGAATGTCCCGTATTACCGTAATATCCGAAAGACGCTAAAACCATTTGGAAATATGTATTCTATGTAGTTCAACCTGTTTTTCCACTTCAGCCGCGCCGTCGGTGATCGAGCAACGGAACCGAGAGTGGCACCTCTGAAGCTGCACCCGACCGGCGAGAGCCTGAAGGAAATGCATCTGAAGAAGATCAAGCCGAAGCCTGAAACGGCGAAGCCGATCCTGCAGAGCTTGAAGGACGGGCTGGAGCATCTGAAGAAGAGCACCGTCCGCGAGAAGAGTCAGACGAGGCAGAACTGTCGGAACGGATTCCTGGAGCGGATCTCGAAGCTGGCGCAAGGTAGCCGCAGCCGGAACCCGGCGAAGAAGTCGGCTTCGTTCACGTTCGCGGTGAAACCGGAAGTCGCGATCAGGTGCCAGGAACGCTACTCTAGCCTGGAGCCGGAAACTACCTCTAACCAGAGTCACTCGAACTCATCCAAGCAACCTGTACAAAGGTCCGTCTCGACGAGCATTCTGGAGATGCCGACCAGCGTCGAGCTACAGCCGAACTACTCCCGCGTCAGAGACAGCCTGACGCCCGTGCCATCCTTTCCCAAATTAACCAGGACCAAAGCTGACGACATTTACGCGGAGATCTGCGAGAACGCGGCTGCCCAGGTACAAAAGTGTCCTGGAAGTCACGTGATGGCCAGGATCAAGATCGTGGTGAAAGGACGCGACTCGGCGGCCGTCGAACTGCCGGCCAAGATCGGCAACGACCGATACATGAACTCGATGGTGACGAACGAGCGGATCGACTCGATTATCAGCACGGAGGACGAAGTTATTTACAATACGGTGTTCTGACCGAGAAGAGTTTTATTATTATAAGGAAACCGGCTGTGTTTGATGATCGAAAAACCTCGTTGATCGCTGGGGATCAACGTCCAATCGAATCTGTATTATATTACTATAATAAATCCCACGGAACTATATATGTAATTTTGTAGGATCGATAACGATTGCATGACATACCTCTGCCATACGTACTAACAATCGCAGCGAGATCGGTTTGCCCTTCGAGGGAGGGCTCAACCTCTGGTTGTTTCTAAAATAAGTATTTTTCTATTTTCATTTTTCATTGGACACTTTTTTAACTACTGAACAAATTACTTTTTAATCAGCTAACTTTTAGGTCGCGTCGACTTTCTTGGTGCTGAACAGCCACACACAGAGTTCTAACTTTCCGAGTAATTCGAGAAGAATTTTTTACGTATATTTTATGCGAAATATGAAAGTAAACGATGCTATACCGAATCGCTAGCAAATAAATTCGTATAATTTTTACACGTGAATGTAGTACATTCAGGAAATAATGAAGGGGGCTGTGAGAATAAAAACCAAGTGAAAATTAATCGTTAAAATTGTAATTTAAATCGCACGCGGCGTTATGCGTTTCTGGTCAGTAAATAAAGTCGCTACAATATCTGCCTTCGTGACGCGCTCGTTTATGGAAAAATTCGAATTGCTCTATTAAAAACTCGTTCCAGTTGATGTGATACAGAATATGAAGAATTACGTAGGAAACCGAATGTAAGCAATAAACTAGGTACATACAAATGTACGAAATATTTATTTCCGTTTATTTTCCCTAATTGAAGCGGTATGCTCTGTTTTGTTCGTTTTGTTGCCTTTTAAACTCTTCTTCTTCTTTTTCAATATTTTATTCTTCAAGATAGTCTTCTTTCTACTAGATAGTTTGTTCCTTTCCTTCTGTTTCTGTGGAATTTCCTCTATGACCTTTTTCATAATATTGACAGCTTTTTCGTTGTCGTTAGCTAACGGAGATTCGATGTTGATATCTAGATATTTCCCAGAAAATCCTTTTGGAAACAATGGTTTCAATAAAAGAGAATCTAAATAACGTCTTTTCATTTTTAACTGACGCTTCATATCTGCCAATTCTTTTGTTTCCGATTGTAATTCTCTGGAAAACAAAATTATTAGAATCTAAAAATAGAATTTGTTGATGTTTCTCAACTACGTTTAAACTTACTCTTCATCCTCATCTAGAAGCAAATCCATCTCCTCCACCGCTTTCAATAACCAGCTCTTCTTCGAAGTATCCCTACGACATTTTAATTCCAATTTATCAATATCTCTAGCAACATCAACCCTTTCTTTGACTGCGATAAGTAGTCTGTCAACTATCGGAAATACGGGTAAGTCCTCCGCTGTTAACAAAAGTAACTGTGTTAGTATTCCATCCGGAATTATTTCACATAATAGTGTTGAATTAATACACGTACTGCGATCGAGGGTTTTACATAATTTAGTATAGTACTGTTTCTCAGACGGTTCCATCATAAGAACTGTTAGACCTTCCTTCTGAGCTCTTGCGGTTCTCCCACTTCTATGTACATAGCTCTATGAATTGTTAAATAAAAATATTAAAAAATGACAAAATCTCTTCAACTTTTACCAATTTTATTCATTACGTGCATCTGAACGCACCTCACTCGTTCTAGGTACTTGATAATGTATTACATGTTCTACATTTGGTATATCCAAGCCTCTTGCAGCTACATCCGTAGCTATTAATAAACCATTCTCATCTGCCTGAAATCTGTATTTCTAAAAGTTATCTAAAAGACATTACTTTTATTCAAATTCCTTTACCTCTCAAGATTTTTCAGTCGCTGCCGTTGTTGCATGTTAGCATGGAGTGGCATAGGTTTACAATTCAGTATGCCAAAAAGGGTAGCTAAACGTTTTACACAACCAATACTATTGCAAAACACTAGTGTCCTCCCAGTATATCTTTTTAAGAAGTAATAAAGATAATAATCCTTATGATCTATTGTGCACACTATTCTACATTCTGTCAAATTACTAGCGGTACCTGTAGAGGAACCATATTAGTGCCGTTATCTATTTTACATAATAGTGTCGCTTATATAATATAAAAATGCAAACCTGACTCCTTCGTAATATCAACAATCTTCGGATTTTTTATTCCAATTAAATCTATAAATTTTTGTAATTTCTGACCAGATGTTAACTTAAATATTCTATTTCTATAATTCTTCTTCTTCTTGTGTAAATGCTCTGGAATGTCGTGCACCATAGTTAATGTAGCAGAAAAGACAAATGTTTGTCGCTTTTGTAACGAATCTTTGTTCATATTTATTTTTTCCAGTAGTTGCTGTAGTTCTTGGAAGTGACCTCTTTCTAACATTCTATCTGTTTCATCAATAACAAAGTACCTAGCATACATAGTATATCATTTTAATAAAATTTGCATCAGGCCTCACTCTGATAGATAACTTTGTTAAAATTACTTATATACGACTTACTTAATGGACTCCACTTGATTCAGGTGGGGATTACCCATCTGTATCAATTCCCATAATCGACCAGGTGTAGCAATTACAATTTCTGGACCCTTACGCAATATTCTTTCCTGTTTGACTTCTGCCATTCCACCTAACACAACTGCTATCTAAATAATACAACCACATGATTAATAGTTTGTATATAACATAAGTATTTGCAATATTTTGTCAGCACATCAACAAATACTTACTTTAATATCAGTATATTTAGCTGCTTTAGTCAAATGATTTTTTATTTGAATAGCTAATTCACGAGTTGGCGTTAGAATTAATGCATATAAAGGTTTCTGTGCATAATTCTGAGGTTTACTAATTTCTATATTATTGATTACTCGTACACAACCAATATTATTTTTATCAACATCATCATCCTCTTCATAATCAGATTCTGAAGAACTGTTATCATTTTCTGTAGTTTTACTTTCTGTACAAGTCCAACCTTCATTTCTACTCTTATTACTAAGTTTGCTTATAGAATTGTTACTAGGTTCAATGATTGATTTATTTTTTAACTCCAAAATGCCATTTAATATAGGAATCCCAAAAGCTAATGTTTTTCCACTACCTGTCTCAGCAGCACCTAGTATGTCTCTGCGGCCTAATATTGCTGGTGGCAAAGTTAACATCTGAATGGTAGTAGGTGAATAAAATTGTTGATCTTCTAATGCTTTTATTATCATTTTGGGTACTCCTAATACACTCCATGCTTGCATGTTAAAATTGTCCACCTCACTTTCACTATCATCATTTTGATTATGAAATTCACTTTTTTTATCAGATTTCAAACTTAAATCAACATTTTCATTTCTTTCTGTTTTCTTTTTCTTTTTCTTTTTCTTAATGGTGCTGTCTTTATGGTCCACCTCACTTTCACTATCATCATTTTGACTGTGAGATTGACTTTTTTTAACAGATTTCAAACTTAAATTAACATTTCCATTTCTTTCTGTTTTCTTTTTCTTTTTCTTAATGGTGTTATCTTTATGATCCATCTCACTTTCACTATCATCATTTTGACTGTGAGATTGATCTTTTTTACCAGATTTCAAACTTAAATCAACATTTCCATTTCTTTCTGTTTTCTTTTTCTTTTTCTTAATGATACCGTCTTTATGGTTTCTCGGCTTTGTTTTCCTAAGTTCTGGCTCATTATCATCTATGGTATCTTCTTGCCATTCATTTAAACTTTTACGTTTTAAAGATACCTAACATAAACACATAATGAAATTAAGTTATGTTAGTACTTGTGTTAAAAAAACAGATCTTCATAGTTACCTTATCTTTACTAGTTTCACTTCCTACATCACAAATTACAATTTTCGTCTTATTATTTTTCTTTTCTAATTTATAATCAGTTAATTCTTCTACACCAATTAAACCATCAATACCGCCAGAAAATACAGAACCCTCTAATGTTAGAGGTTTCCAAGCATTCAAATCACTTTGTTTCATTTGTGGCATTGCTATTTATG